GATTCTAAACCAGAGGCTTTGGATCTGTAAGGGAGAGTAAAACCTCCTAGAAAAACGCATTATTTGAATGGGAAAACGATTTAAACTAATTGCGTGCAACAGAAACACCAAGACATCTCAGAAATGTTTGCGTCAGGGACGTTCACGTCTACAACGTACCTACCTACCTCCCCATTGGCTAGCGGAACTGTATTACCCAATCACGACAGCTGCTCTGAAACGCGAACCTTCCTGGGTTGGCCAACAAATATTCACCGGTTGCTACACTACTTGTTTCCGTTTCGGTAGCCGGTACTGCAACACGCTTTTGCCTCCAAGCTTTGTTTTCTGATTACCGACTGGGATTCGGAGCTAGCAGAGATAGATTCAGTTCAACCGGAATCGCGCAGATGTAGATCATAACAGAACTAGTAGCCTCGGATAACCTAGGTGAGACAGTCGCTTACAATCAGATTCAAAAGAACTGAGTCTAAGAGGACTAACACATTGCATCATAAAATCTGGAAGAGTTAATAGCATCGGACCGAGAGAGTGGGCACCTCAGCGGCTCGTTAAAGCCACATTGTGACGCCGATGCTCCAACGGCAGAAGTTAAAAACAGTGCCATCGGCATATTTGGGTCCAACAGACGTGAATAGCACGCAGGTTTTTTCAACACATAAAGAGAACATGCGCCAGCAAAAACCGGCGCGCTGTACCGACACTTCATTGCAACGCAATGACCACCAGTCACGAAGCGATCTCAAGGTACTGCCAGGTCGCCCGCAACTACCCAGATTCAAACCAGCAACCTTTGGATTACAAGGTAGACACACCTCATACATCCGGCCCTGAAGCGAATTAGAGAGCAAGAATGAAGTAAGGATGGCTAGTTGCAAGACACCACAGCAGCAGAGAAGTAATTTGTTACGGAAGTAACATATTTACTGTGGCGTGGAACAGTGTAAACTACGGAGAAAATCCTCTACCGAAGTCATTTTGGTTTCACATGATGGCTAACAGTTTGTGACCATACGGAGTTGGTTAGATGGAGGTTTCATCACTTTGGATGTTCGTTTAAGACATCGTCGTACTTCTATGGCCTACTTCATCAATCACTCTTTCTGTCTTTTGGTGATAAAGTCATCTCTCTGAAGGTAAAACCGCATGGCACAGAGGCAAAGGTAGAGTACTGGCGCGAAGTCGTTGATGATGACAATACAAGTAGTGATGCGAGTTCGGGTCACCCAGTGGTGTCAACAGAAAATACCACAAGGGGTTAGCGCACGAGCATTCTATTCACAACTCTGAGACTCTATGTTGCAGGCCGGTACTAATAGAATGGGCACATATCGAGGATCTATGTAGTAAACCAGTGGGCTAGTGACGTGAAGTTGGACAACCATACCGCGTTACCCATGATGCCGAATGCTGCTCTGGCTATGACGGAGTGTACAACATAGTGATCGATAGCGGTTGATCGATGATCATGGTGGTTGGGTTAGCCAGGACTATTCTAACCCTAACATCTTCCCCACAAAGAAAAAGTATTTGTTGCATGACATTCTTTAGGATTGTTGCAGCTGCAAGGGAACTGGGACTGTTGCTGCCCCTTATTTGGAGCCCGGAACATTTGCTGTAAGCCGTAGTTGATTGCTGCGTCAACCGTAGGCACTTCGGTATGCTGGAACCTGCCGACTGGAGAGCAAATGTCGAGTGACTGTCCCGATCATTCCTAATTGTCTGAGGACTGCCGGCTGAAAATATAATTATCGAATGACGGTCTCGATTATGATTAAGTGCCGAATCTCCACTTGGCTGGACAGATAAGTGTCTGGTGAAATCCAGACCATGTGTAACCGAGCGGCACCAAATTGTTCATGTACTTGTGAAAAATGTGCATTCCAAGTGACTGTAGAAAGCGTCTTGATCCATGCCACCTCCGCCGCCAACTTGTTACAACCCGGTAATAATAGGATGGGCACATATCGAGAATCCATGTTTTGGACCAAATTGGGAAACTGGCCTGAAGTTGGACAACCGTACCGCGTTAGCCCATGATGCCGAATGCTGCTCTGGCTATGACAGAGTGCTCAATGCAGTGATCGATAGCGGTTGATCGATGATCATGGTGGTTGGGTTAGTTAGGATTGTTTTAACCCTAACCCTCTATACACTTAGTTGTTACTTGAAAACTCAATAGCTCATTCGATCGATGGACAGATCGAACGCACTGGGATAGGCGCTTCCTTCCACTCCAGCTTTCAGCCACCATTACATTTGCCCTTTTTTCGTTTTTATTTGATTTGTCGTGTCGCATGTGTCATATTGCCTTCCACTGCGTGTGGCCTTGTGGTCTTGTGCTGCGGTGTCCGCCGGAACGTTCTGCTGAGGTGATTGCTCCGCATGATGTTGCGTGTGTTCGCCTGCTGCCTTATCAGTTGCACTCGGTTGCGCCGAATGACATTATTCCAGATTCTTACTTCGTAGCTTCGTTCTCCCTTTTAGGTATTGCGGCACAATTGCTGAGTTGTTTCCCACTTCTAGCCAAGGTGTATATATATATATATATATATATATATATATATATATATATATATATATATATATATATATATATATATATATATATATAAATTCCTACGACCTTCGATTCGTCCCCTCCTCCAACGCCCGTCAGTTCCCGCAACCGGTTCAACCCATACTTCGTCCCCAGACATTTGGGGTGGCAGCTGCTTTGATCCTGGATGGTAATATTTCTTTTGCCGCAACATTCTCCTACGCAGAGGATCTTGCAGCAGGCTGTTCGACGCTATTGCTAGTTGTAGTAGAGTAACAGATAACAGCGTCCCTATTCTGCAGGTGTACAGCCGTTGGGATGGACTTGTTCCCATTTCAGCAGACATCGTGTTCCGTCTTTCCAGCAGCAGATCTTCGTGGGCTTCTTTGGTCTTGGTGAACGCTTTCTATGCCTCCTTGACGGCTGACTCAACCAACCCGTTTGATTTGCCATGATAGGGACTGGTCAAACGGTGAAAAAATCCCACTTTTTGCCGAAATTT